TCTTGCAACGACGGCGGCAGCAGAAATGGAGAAGAGTGGCCGCCGGCCAACTCGCTCTTGCACGCGCTCGGCGGTAGACCAGGGAGCTCGCCTAGCTCCTTCCCACCGGTCGTCGCCCTTGTCCCCGATGGCCGCCGTCCGCCGCCCTTCTCCCCAATGACCGTCGGCGAGAGAGGAGGGAACGGCGCGCGGCGGCGTCAGCCGGAGAGGAGGGAGCGGGGCCACCACTTTCACCAGCGCCCCACAACGACGGCTTGCCGGCGCCGCTCGCCGCGGTGACGACGATGACCGTGGATGTGGCGGCGCCAGCGCTGGCCGCCGGCGTCGTCAACAACGACTCGTTGGAGGACGAGGTGCCGTCAACGTACATTCCGATGGCGGCCTTCCTAACCTTGAGCACGAATAGCAGCAGCGTGAACCAGACGATGGCCTGGAAGACGGAGAGCTGGACAACTGTTAGCATTATTTTTGTGTGGCAGTTAGCTTCGTGCATGCGGCTAGCTAGTGGCTGCCGAATTAATTGGATCGCGTGCTGCGTGCGCGTACAATGCGGCCGAAGTTTGTTTGCTTAGTGGTGTGTCTGCTGGGCTATAAAAGTCATGTAATCTCCTGAGTTAAGTGTCAAGTGAATGAGAAAAACTAGATAAGGCGTTTGTTGTCGAGAAATTCTTCTGTGTTTGTCCACAAAGATTTTTGCTCCAGCTAGTTGAAGTGTGCGTGTTGCTGTAATCCTGTTAACGACCCACTTCAACAATGCAATTTTAGAAGTAGTAGTATCAAATCCAACACAAGGAGCTAGTGAATCTGTTACAATAGTGGAAGGTTTTGGGGTGGAAGATGGAGGGATACAAGGGTTAGAAGGTTCTAGTAACTTCTAGACAAGTAGAGGAAGAGGGAAGGTAGAGATCGACAAGGAGGCAAGCCCGCCTCCAGGTTGTTGTCGCCGCCGTTCGCCGCCTTGGCCAATTGATCGGTCGATCGATCTCCTGTAGGCTGCTGCTGCTCATGTATTGTTTCAATTGGACTTGTTTGGGCTACATGGCCATGGGCTGACCAGCCTGTGGTGCAGTCAGCGGCCCATGTGCAGCCCACCTGAGACACTGACAAATCCTTGGCCAGAGCTGACAATGACGAGCTGCTACGCCCACTCGCCGTACATGGCGCGCGCCATGGGCACACCGACGACGAGCGAGTTGGTCAGCGTGGACAGCGAGAAGCTGGTGATGGACCAGCGATGGCGCAGCCGCCTTTGCTCATGAACCGTGCCCAGACGCCGATGACGGCGACGGGTTCGTCCTGACTAGATCCAGATCCCTCGGGATCCACCAAGAGAGGCTTGAGCTCGGCAGCGGCGGCGAGGGGGTCGGGTGAGGCGCGGGCAGCACGAAGTCGAGCGGCGAGGTCGGCTACGAGGAGGCAGCGGCGAGGTGCTCCTGCCTGTCACGCCCGGAATTTCTATCCAAAATTCCAAACGCTTACATGTGTGTGAACCCTCGTCCAGGAATCAGTCGAGGCACACAATAACAAATTGATAATAGAGTACAATTATTACTCTAATTAATAAGCGAATAAAATGTCATTACAGAGGTAGATAGTTCCTCTCAATCAATAAAGATCTAAGCAGCGGAAAATAAAAAACTAGCGAAGCTCCGGCTCCACTCCACAGGCAACTTGACCAAGGCTACACCTAATCCTCCACTCCATCAGCTTCACTGTAGAACTCTTCCTCTGATGAATGATTGCAAGGTGAGTATATGACATACTCAGCAAGCCACGCAGCAAATATGCAAGTGCACAGGATAACAAAGGATGGCATAATAGGGTTTCATTTGCAAAAGCAGCATTTAGCAAATATTTCAGAATTTAATAAAACAGTTAAGTATTAATCAATATTAATCCAACGCTATACAACATACCCTGTTGTATAGGCCCAACCATTCTGAACAACCATCCCGGCTGCACAGTTCTATCTCCAAACCAGGAATATACCATTCCAAACCAGGAGCTAATCAAATTATTACCAATTATAGCATCATTTACTAAGGTGAGAAGGGTGAGACTAATCACGAAAGACATTGTTAGACCCGCCCATAACCGCGGGCACGGCTATTCGAATAGTTTTACTTTGATCAGAGGTGTACCACTGTACCCACAAGACACAACCCCACATCATGTCACCATGTGCCTCAATACCACCACGGTATCTCGGAAAGGAGTCGTGACAATACCCCTCGCATAACACAATCCACTGCAATGCACCCTCCCGGATCATAGTCACCCCCTTATAAACAAGGTATGGACTCCCCAGCGAACCCCCGTGGGCTTATCTCCGCCACTTCTCAGTCTGGTGCTCCGCAATGAACCATGCTATACAAAAGATAAAGCCGTTGCCCATGCTGGCTTGTGGTTGGCACGATAAATGTTTCACAACCGAAACTCGTGAACCGGTCCTTAATTGTCATGAGCACGACCATCAAAACCATGTGCTCACAACCCACCATTACCAGGTTTTAGTTGGCACATTAATTAATTATCTAATCACGATTAACCATCGTGAACTATCAATAAACTATCATGAAATAATAGTGTGGCATTAGTTATCCCATGAATGTGCTAATGTTTCTAAGCAGGGCTAAGCAATTATATCTAATATCTAGTTGAACCAGTATAAATAAATAAAGCTCAACTAGTCAAATTATAACCCAAGGTATCAAGGAATAAGGTAATCAAGAACAAAAGGGCTATATCAAACAATAGGTTAAATCCACCCAATGACATTCGAAAATAAATGCAATAGTTGAAAAGAAACAATAGCTTTAAATAGGATCAACATGCTCAAAGGGTTGTTTGGGATCTGTGTGACTTGCCTTGCTGGCCTTGGAACTCTTCAAACTCTTCTCCGGCGAAAACGGACTCTCCGGAAACGACGGAATCTAAGCAGAAAAGAGCAAAATCACCAAAACAGCACAAAAACAAGCTTGAACAGTACATGTGGATATTTTTAATGTGTAGATCTCAATTTTAGAAAAATTTAGAGACTTGAACCAACTAAATCGGAGCTAAGATGAATTAGTTATGAATTTTTAAAGATTAAATCGGATTAAAACACTTAAATCGGTTAAAATTGAATTATGATGCAATAATGAATTATTTTTGAAAAGGAAAAGAGGGTTTATTGCGTCAGCGGGCTAGGGTTTGGTGGACCGGGCGCACGGGCGACGGTTCACGCAAACGGACGGCCAAGATTGATCCCACCCAAAACGGACGGCTGAGATCGATCGGGTCCACAGCGGCTCACGGGAGACGATTCCGATGACGTCAGCGGTGACGTCACCGACAGCGGCGGCGGCTCGGCGGAGGAGACGGCTCGGGCGGCGCACGTTCGCCGGCGAACGGCGGCACCTCGGCACAAACGGAGGGCACCAGCACGTAGAGGACAACGCGGCGAACACACCGGTGACCAAAACGGCGGCGGAGGAGGAACGGACGACGACGGCGACGAGGAGGAAGCGGCGGCTACCTTCGGGTTGTCGACGGCGACGATGCTCCGGCGGGTTCCGACGGCTGCGAAGGGGCGGACGAGGACGGCGACGACTTGACGAGCACAACGGCGGTCTTCCCGAGCGACGGCGACGGCTGAAACGACGGCGGAGCACGGCTGAGATTGCGGCGGCGACGGCGAAGCTAGGGCACACGGCGCTAGAACGATTCCGGCGACGAGAGGCGAAGGCGAGGGTGGCGGCGGGTAGAAGAGACACCGGGGGTCCTTTTAAAGGGGCTCGGAGGCGGCGGCGAAAGCCCACGGCGACGGCAACGGCGAAGGAAAGCTCGGCTTGGAGAGAGGGAAACCGATCCGAAACGAACTCGACTCCGACGCTTTCCAAAGCGATTTAGCCAAAGATTCCAAAGGAGAAAAGGTAGAGGAGATCCCGAGGATCATTTCCCCTCTATCAATTCGGCCGGAGAAGGAAAGGAACGGCCGGATTTGGAAAGGAAACGGCGGCGGCGACGCTAGGGTTTGCGGGCGGCGGCGGCCGAAGGAGGACGATGGATCCGACAAGCGGGACCCACCTGTCAGCGACAGCGAGGGCGCGCGCGCGGCTGCGGACTGGGCCGGCTGGGCCGAGGAGAGAGAAGAGAGCGGTTTTGGGCCGACTTTCGGCCCAAAGCCAAAAGAGACTTTTTAAAACCTTTTTCAATTTAAATTATTTCTTAAATGCAATTCCATTTATTAAAAATACTTTCTTAGCTCAAATAAATCCCAGAAAAATCTAGGAATTATAGAATTAAGCAAAGTATTTAATGAAATTTTATCTGGCCCAATTTTATATTGGAATTTATTAATTAAAATTAGATTTTCTTTTCAAGACTTTTAAAATAAATTCTAAAAATTCCATTTAAACAACAATTTATATATTTTGAATCTTTAGGGTGTGACACTGCCGCTCGTGGAGCTCGTGGCGGGCGGCGAGGAGGCGGTCGGAAGGGCCTGGAGACGAGGAGAGCAGGGCGAGCGCCGAAGCGAGAGAGGAAAGGGGAGAGAGATGAAGAGATGGGAGATGGGGAGAGAGAGGAGGAAGAAGAGGGGTGAAATGACATGTGGGGCTCACGTGGGCCCCGCCATTTTTTATTAATTTGTGTGTGAAACTGACATGTGGGTCCCACGGGGTTTATTATTTTTCCGAATTGAATTGCCACGTAAGCGCCATGTCAGTGCCACGTCAAATTAAGACCGAGTCAAATTAGCCACGTAGGCGCCACGTCAGCCAAAACTGCTATTGAAACCGCCGAGGGATAATTCACACCGGTTTTGATAGTTGAGGGACCTGTTGTATCTGGTTTTGTGATTGAAGGATGAAAATCGGATTCGTTGACAAGTTAGGAACCTTAGATGAACTTATTCCGCACTTTTGAACGGGGCCTTATTCCATTCATGGGCCGATCAGGCAAGGCCCAGGAAGCGGCGGGGAAGCGGCGGCTAGCATTGAAGCGCGGGAAATCCAAAATCTCATCGGCCGCCTCCTTCCCCAATCCAAAAACCCTAGCGGAGAAATCTCTCCCCTCACCGTCCCGCGCGCTGCTCGGCCGCCATGAGCGCCCCCATGGAGGTCTCCTTCTCCGCGCCGCCTCCTCCGGATGCGGCATCTGCTGCCGCCGCGGCCCCATCGCTGGTGCCCGCCGTGTCGGCGGCGGCGGTGGCGGCGACCACCGTTTCCTGCTCGCCGCAGCCACCGACGGGGTCGCCCTCGGCCGACGACAGGATCCTCGTTTCAGGTAGGTTGCCTCGGTTACCTCCCGTTCTCTAGCTATGCACGGTTGTTGTGGCTAGCGAATGCTGAATCATGGTGGCTGTGTTTTTTTAAACCCTGTGATTGCAGTTGAAGTGCTTCTGCACGCCACTAGCACAGCTCGAGCCGAGGACGTCTGCGCTGCGGTGGAGAGGTTGGTGTTTATCTCATTTTCTGTTAATTTTTCGGGTTGTTGATGTTGTGAGCAACGTCAGGCGGGTTGGTTTAGAAAATGGTGGTTTTCTAGAAATGGGGAGCGATTGAGTTTGAGCATTGATGGAAAACGGTGAAGCTGAACACTGAAGCAACATGGATTTGGGATATAGTATATTTTCTGGGTATCTAATGCATAAAAAACCTGGGTCTTCTGTATGTTCTGAAGTTACAGAAACTTGTGGTACTGTAACTAGTGAACCAATGCAAGTATTAAGAGTGAGTTGTAAAATGCATCAACCGCAGCTTTGTGGAAGCCTTGGTGGTGCCATGGCAGCCTTGGGCAGAGGCATCAATGGTTGCTGCAAGGGACTTAACATAGTTTCCGGAAGAGAGTTTCTGGATTTTATTTATTCGCTCACATAATTTGCGTGAATACTAGCATCTTATTCATGAGCCATTAGCAGCTGTTATTTCTCGAACTTAATATCTACTACTTGCTTTATCAATCAGGATGTTAGAAGCTCGAAGCTTAAGCTATGTTGATGGTCCTGTCCCGATTCCTAATGATGATCCTTTTCTTCTTGCAAATGTTAAAAGGATCCAAATCTGCGACACTGGTATGGATCTACTTAGCCTGGCAATTGTGCTTTCTTTCTTGACCTCATTGCTTATGCATCTCTTGGTACTTGCCTTTTATGTAGATGAGTGGACTGAGAATCACAAAGTTCTGTTATTTTGGCAAGTCAGGCCTGTTGTTCATGTGTTCCAGGTATGCACTATAAATAATGTTAGCTGCCAACTGCCTAAACCTCTTCCACCTCTTTCAAGAACTGTGGTTATGAATTTTGTGTTGACATGTTGGCTATCGCGCTTTATTGATAAATTGCATGTGGAATTTCTTAATACTGTACTTAATTTTCTCATTTGTTTTCTCTAGAGTAGAGACTTCCAAAGGTACATTCTACAGGTGCATTTAACTATTTGCCACCCATATCTCAATGACATGTGGGTCCACATGTGTCTATGACATGTGGGTCCAGTTAATTGCCACATTTAAAAGTGGCAAATAGTTAAATATCTCACATTCTACATCCTAATGTCTTAATACTGATCCATAGGAATATGTTCTTTCCAATAGATGGATTGCTTTATGTTGTTTATTGGATTGAAGAGACATTGATCTAATTCAAATGTATTTACCTCAATCTGGTTTGCTTATGCTGCAGTTGAGCGAAGATGGTCCAGGTGAGGAGCCGGGTGAGGACGATACACTCTCTAGCTTCAATGAGTGGGCTCTGCCTGCCAAAGAATTTGATGGGTTGTGGGAAAGGTTTGGTTTACATTCAATTTAACCTTAACTAGTACAATTCCTTGAAGAAGTACACTATCCTTTTCTGTTGTGTTGGTAACATCATAAGTCTTTGCAGCTTACTCTATGAAGTTGGTCTCAAGCAGAGGTTGCTGAGATATGCTGCTAGTGCTTTGCTGTTTACTGAAAAGGGTGTAGACCCATGTCTTGTTTCCTGGAACAGGTAAGCGTCTTAAGAAACACCTAGGGTGGAAATGCCTGAGCTCTTTACGAGAAAATAGGTCATCTTAAGTTACCTGTAGTTGCATATGTTAAATTGTACACTGATTTTTCATTCTTTTGGTTGTTTTGATTTTCTTTGTCAACACATTGCAGGATTGTACTTTTGCATGGTCCACCTGGAACAGGAAAGACTTCCTTGTGTAAAGCACTTGCTCAAAAACTTTCCATTCGCTTCAAGTCAAGGTTTGTGCTGAATGAGATACAATACTGTATAATTTTGGTTAATGAATGTGCGTTATTCATTTCTATAATTCTTTTAGGTATTCCATGTGTCAATTGATTGAAGTCAATGCCCATTCACTGTTCAGCAAGTGGTTTTCTGAAAGCGGAAAACTGGTATGCCTTTTTTGTGCTAACCGAAAGACTGTTATATGCATGTGATGATTCATATGCTGAATGCTATTATCTAATGACACTTGGCTTGCTCATGATTTTGCATGTGGTGGCTTTTATTCTTATGATTCATTTCGACCTTTTTATACTGGACTTTACCTGGTATAATTAGCCAATGGATATGCATCTTTATTCGCATCTTAAATTCCGTGTACTCTGTGCAATCCTTCATTTTAGGTGGCCAAACTTTTCCAGAAGATCCAGGAGATGGTGGAAGAAGAAAGCAACCTGGTATTTGTATTGATAGGTACGTCAGTACGTCCTTGAGCAGTGACAAGTTAACACTATATATTGACAACTAGGCAACTAGCCCAAAGTGATGAAATGACTATACGAGTCTTCACTGTATGGTCTGTGAAGTGATTAGATGAGTCCACCAGGTTCATTTTGTATATGAATAGTTTAGGAAGGTTAATTTTCATGTCAAATTGTCAATTTGGCTGAGTTCAATTTAAGCTTCCATTATCTAAAAATGTTGAATTGTCAATCACGTTTCTCCTTAAAGATACACCCCTATACTAATGATTATGTATCAACCTTGGCCACCTGTTTGACATATGACTATATGAGCGAAGGATCCTTACAATCTATATTATACTCTTTCACATGGAGTTTGATTTGCTCGATGTTGTATATATTGAATCTTAACCTTATGTGTGTTATTATTGATTTTTCAATTTCTAGATGAAGTTGAAAGCCTAGCTGCTGCCAGACAGGCTGCCATATCTGGATCTGAACCTTCAGATTCCATAAGGGTAAAGTTTTTATTTTTCCATGTACCAATTTATCGTGAAATGCTCATACCTATTCCTTCATCGTGCAACCTGCAGGTTGTAAATGCATTACTTACACAAATGGACAAACTCAAGTCTTGGCCAAATGTTATCATTTTGACAACATCAAATATCACCACAGCTATTGGTATTAAGTTCTGCCTTTTTATACCTTTATGAAGTTAGTAAATCGTCCATCTCCTGATGATCTAATTTATCATTTTTGTGAGCGAAAGACACTTCTCTAGTCTATAGTGATATTTGCTCTACAGGGAGTAAATCCTAACTCTTCTCTAGTTTGCAGATATTGCATTTGTTGATAGAGCAGACATCAAGGCATACGTTGGACCCCCAACCCTTCAAGCACGATACGAAATTTTGAGGTCATGCTTACAGGAACTTTTGCGAGTTGGAATTCTTACACATACTCAGGTATTTGTTCTGTGCTTGCCAACTTGGTTGATGCCTATGGTGCCCACCTTTTCATTATTATTATCCAAGCACCAGAGTTGCTCTGGATTACTCTGTCCATGGGGCACTTGATTAGAGCAAACAATTCTTTTGGATCTTAGTTGATGAATCGATCAAAACTTCTCCACAAGACTTTCAACTTTCTTGTAACCCCTGAATGCTAAATAAACTATTGTCGCAAATTGTAGGGTGGCAATTCTCTTTGCCTTTTGAGTTATTTTAGCCTGATGGAGAACCAGCACTGTCCTGAGGTCGCAGATCCTCATGGTTCGGTTCATCTCTCTGGCCTACTCCATAAAGCTGCAGAAATATGTGAGGTAAATAACATAACTGATACATGCATCATCAACAGTAATCAAGACATTCCCATCAGGCTGACAGCAGCATTTCTTTTCTGCTACAGGGATTAAGCGGTCGAACATTGAGGAAACTTCCTTTCCTGGCACATGCTTCTGTTGCTAACCCTTCATGCTGCGATGCCTCTGCTTTCCTGCACGCTTTGATACAGACTGCTCAAAGAGAGCTCTCCGAGTCGCGTGGTTGATTGATTCCATGCCGGTCACTTCGAAGAGCAAATTGCTAACAGTTTCAATTCCAGAGATAGTTTTTAAGGGACCTCAAAGATAGCTGGAAGCTAATTCAGAGCCTGGTGCTAAATACCGGCAGACCCCTGCAATCTTTAGGTTTAGAACAGCAGAAGTCCAGAATAGATCTGATTGTTGCTTTGATACTTTTGTGTTTTGTAGATTATTATATATATAGTATATTGTGCCTCGAAGGATGTCACTGAGTTAAACCAGAAACAAGACTTGATTCGAGTTGCTGAATGTTTAAAAGCATATGTTATCACATCTTGCGCTCTATGCTTGTGGAGGTAGTGTAGTAACCAGGACCTGCTTCACGTGCTGCATATACAGGAAGCACACTCAAGTGACTCAACATGGTCATGTCTCAAGAGCACTGGAGCTAAAGCATTCAGAAAATTGCCGGGTGTCGTTCTTAACCGGGAATTACAGAGATTCAAGTTGACCGTGATCTATTCGGTATACAACTAATTAAATTCAAGTATCGAACCAAGAGCAGCAATTCGATATACAACTAATTTTCATTGACCGCTAAAATGTATAGGGAAGGAATCTACAAGAAAAACGAACTAGAGCCATGCTGTTGTTGGCCTCTCCAAGGATCTTACTACAGCTACACCACAAAATGGGTTTAGCAAATAGTGATTTGGGTCTGAGACTGAAACTACGATTTCACCTCTGGCCTGCTCTGGTTGGGTCGTATGCGACAGGATAAGTAGCTGGTGCTTGTCCTGCATTGGCAGCTCCACTGCTTGACTGAACAACTCCAGCAGGATATCCAGCACTACTGATCGCGCCATACATGCTTGCAACATCTGTAGCTACACCACTGCTTATTGGTTGCTGCGGTGCAGCATACGCACTAGGATAACCGGGCAAAGCGGCCTGTGTGTACCCTGCAACTGGATAACCAGGATAGCCCGCGTATGCATTTGCTTGCGCAGCATGCATCTGGTAAGCAGTAGCGGCATCATAAGTTGGGTAAGCATATGCCCCAGCTTGGGTAGATCCTTGCTGATATGCCCCAGCTTGGGTGGTCCCTTGCTGATAAACCCCAGCTTGGGTGGCTCCTTGGTGATATGCAGAGGGATGACCGGTAAATGCACTTGAATATGGGTTTGAGGCAGCTGGCACTGCCACAGCTTGTGCTGCCCCTGGTTGTGAAGCAGTCACATGTGCCACCCCCGCCTGTGCTGCTACTGCTTGAGCCGCTGCCACTGATTGTTGCAAGAATCAGATGGAATTGAAACATTAGAGTGCTTTACAAAGCACAAAAGGCATAAAATATGTACACATTGATAGATAGATTATGTGTATGCATGGAAATAAGCCAATCATAAGCAATAAATAAGCAGACACTACAGCGAGTACAAAATGGGACATACATAAGCTATATATATGTTGAGTGGCATGAATATGGACATGACAAAACCGGAGTACCAGACTAACGCGTGTGTTGCATATTACAAAAGCACCGACATATATCTATCACAATTCAAAATGCATATGCAAATCACATATAAAACAAAATGCATATGTAATTAAATACATCAGAGGTTCGCAAGGGAACATAACTGCCGATCTATGAGTACAGGACAGTCCGGTTCTTACCATGAACCAAACACTGAGAAGTTATGGTCAAACAATAAGGGAATGAGGATACCTTGAGCTCGTTTTTCAGCATTTGCCACATCAGCACGCAACTTGTCAGCCTCTTTGGTCATAGTCATTAAATTCATCTCCATCGTCCGCATCTGCTCAACTTGCTTGATGTTTGTGTTTTTCTCATATTCAAAAGCAGATCTATGCATGGTTACGGGAAAACATCATATTATCAGAGGCCTGTTCGCCACCAAAGCTCAGGAGTGTATGGAAAATGTAAAAAAGGAATAATATCACAAACCTTAGACTCTGATGCTCTTTTCGGAGCCCATCTAGCTCAGTCAGTAATTCAGGAAGTTTCTTACTGTCACCAGAGAACTTATGTAGCTCTTTAGTTACTTTATCCATCTCAACAGTGAGCATCTGCCTCTCAGCAATAAGTCTCTTTGCCTCCATATGCACTTGATGAAGTTCCTTCTTCACTGCATCACCAGCTTGTATATCTGCTTCCATCAATCTCATTCTCTCCATCAAATCTCTCATATGCATATCAGTCTCTGTCTGAACATCACCTAGGTGAGCACGGATCATTTGCATTTCTTTCTCAGTATCAACAATATCCTGCCTCAAGACGACATGGCTAGATGCCAATCGCTGATTCTCTCTGATAAGCTTTTCTGCCTCGGCGGTCTGCTCAGCAAGTTTCTTTTCCAAGATCTCCAGAGCGGTGGCAGCGCGATCCAAAGGTTGGCGGCCAGAAAGGCTGGCTGCAGGGAAGGCGCCATCACGCATCAAACCTGAAGCTTGGCGTCCATCCAGCTGTCCATGGTATGCCATTATACTGAAATAGCAAGTAACACCAAAAGGAGTTTAAATCGGGAAATCGGGAGCTTCAACCAAAAGTGAAAAATGTTATTAAGTAGTCATGCTAAGCCATGCATGCATAACGACAATTAACATGGCACTCAACATTAAATACCAGGCACGTTGCGGTCTCATCATAGGTGATGGTAATTTGAAATATTGTACTAGATACTATAGTTACATCCATGAAGTTGTTCAAAAAACATGTGGTGCCAAGAGGTTAACTTACAATAAAAGATACAAAGACTCCCTATTAATCAACAAAACAAATAGAGGAGATTACATTGGAGTTAAAATACAGAAACGCAAACGGCTCACACGTAATGCAGGTTCGAAATGCAAGCACAAAAATAATCCCCAAATCCACACAAGGCTGAACTCCCGCGAAGCTGACATCAAATCTCTAAGCTAAAACCTACATCAACAATCCATGGCCCTACACTGACAGATTAACAGAGGCAAACCTAAGGCCACCTCCAATGCAAAATACTTCAATGGGTGCTTAGGAAAATAGAAAAAGCTACCACACCACTAAGCTGAGAACGTCCTAACTTAGGGCATGGGGTGAATTCAGCTCAACCCCAATTTTTTTTCCTTAAACAATACTGCACCACGCACGTATCAATGGACAGATTAATCGCGAAGAAACTAGATGGCTTAATCGTAGTGAAAAGAAAAAAAAACAATCCAGGTCCGGATAGATTTCCCCAGGTCACGGAGTGACGCGGAAGAGGAGGGGAGACTGGGAGAGGGGGCTACGAGAGGAGAGGTGATGGATACCTTCAATTCGACTCAACCGAGACAGAGGCCGATGGAACGAGGGCTCGTCGCGTCGAGTCCCCCACCCCCCCTGGTTCCGAGCCTGCTCGCCGGCGGCGGGGGCCGTGCGCGCCGAGGAGGGCTCACAAGGGAGAGAGAGGGGGTAGGATGCGGTCGGGGGAGGAGATAAGAGGAGCCCGTCCGCACCGCGGGTAAGTATACGGCGGCCGTTCGCCGGCGGCGCGCGCGCGAGGAGGAGGAGGAGGAGAGGCGGCGGGGGAGCAGGTCGGCCTTGCCGCCGCCGGAACCACAGAAGAGAGAGAGAAGGGGTAACGCCGGCGACGGAGGAAGGGAAAGAGATGAAGGAAGGCCAGAGGAAGGAAGAATGTGGGACCCGGTAAAGGCAGAGGAGGCCAGATGTCTCACCCCTCGCCCCTCGGAGTCACGACTCGAGTCACGACCTTGCTGCGTTGGCCTACTAGACCATGGCCCTAGCCCTAGGGCGAAGGCCGGAATTTTGACGCGAATATTAAGGAATAACCACGATTTTGAATCCATATCGTCTAAGTCTAACCACCGTTTTATAGAGCTAGCCGGAATACCTGAGCGTTTCTTTAGTAGGCTGGAATTTTGGCTATTTATTTTTAGTCTTTTATTTATTTTAAATAACTATACTAAATGTTAGGGGTATACAATTGTATTTATTTTATAATAAAAATATTAGTTTGAGGTAGTTTAATTATTCTTTTGTATTGAATATTAAAATATGTTACGTCTCATTAAGTTATCTTATTTTGGAACGAGTGAGTACTTATTTGCTGGAGGGTTGGCTAGCGTAACAGAGTTACTTCTTGATCCGATGACCCTATTTGTGTTCATAAAAGATCAGCCGAGAGCCACAACCCAACCAGGAAAGGCCATCTAAGTTTTTCATAATCATACCGTGTGTTAGTCCGATCGCTCAGAGCGTGCCCAGTACAAGCCAGGACTTGCTCAAAGACTAAATGTAAAGATGCAAACTAAATGTACGACTGCAGATAGCATTGCAAAGAATCAGATGATAATTGGAAACAACGGTCTTGAGGTCCATGGAGACACAGCCGCGGCTGAGGACCGATAATCAACTCTCATAATCATTTCAGTTAAAGGAATTAAGGCTGCCAGCATTTCCCTTTGCAACAAAAGGTGTTCTCTTTACCTTGTTACACAGCATCGTGTGAAGAATACTCCTCGTGGGTTCCTGAATTATTTGTGGAACAGAACTAAGAAACAGATATTGCCTCACGATTCCTTCCTGGGAAGCGTCGTACAAATTGACGATCTAAACTCTATACGAAACAAAAATAATCGGGAGTCGGGACAAATGAGCTAGTCCCCCAAAAGAATTAATCTCTCAGGCGTGCACCGGCTGGTATCTAATCCAGATTGGCGATTACTGCATCAGTGACTTCCTGGGTGGTGCTGGTGCCGCCTAGATCCTTTGTTCTGTACTTGCCTTCCGCAATGACACGCTTCACCGCCGTCTCCAGCCGGTCGGCGAATGACGGGAACTGCAAATGCCTCAACATCATGGCGGATGATAGAAGCAGCGCAATAGGGTTTGCTTTCTTCTGCTCTAAGATGTTCTCGTTTCCGACGTTTCCTGCAGAAGCACCTTGCTCAAAGACAGCATGGTCCTGACCCACATTACCTGCAACAGGATGGCGAATATAAGGATTAGTAAACCACGTTGAATTAATTATGGTATACAAAAATGAACCAACTGGGTGGTCCAAACATATAAAATGGGTGGCAAGTGATGACTGATGACAAGAAGTAATAACGTAATTGTTCCAAAAGAACTGATGAAAGGTACAACCATGCGTGATGCACAGACAACAAACTGTCTCCCAGTAAGAAAAATATTGTCGGTGACAGAAAAATATTGTCTCCCAGCCGATTGTTTAGTGTGCTGTTGCTTATACGAATTAAAGGAACAAGGTAAAAGTTAAGATCCTACCTCCAGGCATAACACCTGTCCCTCCAGCAATACCTGCAGCCGTGTTAGCAACCAAATTGCCATAAAGGTTTGGTGTAACCTACAAAACGTACCAAAGAGTAGAAAGTTAGAAATTCTGCAGGAATTACACGGGGATACTTAACAGGAATCATTTGGGAAAACCAGTATTCAGGAAAGTGTCCTGCGGAACAGAAAGAAAAAGTAAACAAAAAAAGGGGGAATTCGACAGTTGTCGTTAGCTAACATACTTTATAGTACATCATATCAAGCTAACTAAAACTGCCTGTAGCTGCATGATTGCAACGCTTACATACTGTCAGCTGGTTAGAAGTGCTATAGATTGTCAAAAGATTGTTTTCTCAATCCTTATAACAACAAAATTTCATTTGGTTTCTCTTCATTTTCACATTATTGAGTGTTTGCACTTTTCTCTCCTCCCATAAAGATGATGCAAATCTAAGCATTCCCAATTTCTCTGATGTTGTTCAGGACATTAAATTTCTCATAATGCTTTTGAAATTCTACATGATAAATAGGTCAAATTTATAGATAAGGAAGCGGAGCAAAATAAATCGTACGATGACACTACTTTTATTTCCTAATGCAAATGACAGAAGGAATTTTAACCTGGAGACTATATATAGCAAATGTGTATCATTAGATTCATTATTTATCTTGCATCACAAGCAAAATTTCAATATCCTAGTTGCTAAAGCATTTACAGGAATGTATGCTTCCCAAGTACAACAAAATATGTTCTACAATGCTAAAACCACAGCATCTACAATAACTTCTGATAAGCTTCCTCATTCAGAACTGTACTTTCTGAGAAAGTATTACATTCATTCTTCGGACATAAAACAAACAGATTAATAAAAACAGATGTTTGAATTGCATCATAAAATGCAAAGCACACGCAAAGAAACTCAGTGCAGTTCAAACAAGGCAGCTCCAAAGTACTGAACAGACAGTGATGCTCCAGATAGAATGTATGAAGTAAAGAGCATACCATGACATCAAATTGCTCAGGCTTTGCAACAAGTTGCATACAGCAGTTGTCGACAATGATCTCATTATACTGAATACCAGGATACTTTGAGGCAACCTCACGGCAAGATTCCAAGAACAAACCATCAGCAAGCTTCATGATGTTTGCTTTATGCACTGCTGTGACTTTCTTTCGGTTGTTAAGGTAAGCATACTCAAAAGCATATTTGGCAATCCTCTCAGAGCAAAACTTTGTTATCACCTGACAAAAGTTAGTCAGTGAGACTAAGATGGAAAAGAAGCTCAGAGAACTGGAAAAAAAAAAGGGTGCATTTCATTCCATTGGCAATCATGTAACACAAAACTAATCAATGGTTCAATTGAAAGAAAAGAAATAAGCACATATCTGATGAGTCCATGTGCCCCAAATCAATAAATTTAACCATCAGTCTACCTATTCCCTCTATTCCATTCCCTACATCCCAAATCCATGAAGCTGACCTGATTACACGTCATATAACAGTCTGGGCCAAATAATCACGTCATTAAATTCTTAAAGAGGCCAGTGTTTGATGCAGAATAAACAAATCAGGAACTAAACTAGCACGTTTTACAATTTAATCAACACGCAAATAATGTAAATTCATAGATTGTACCAAACGCTTTACCAGGCAAACAGCAAACAACAAACCGTGAGTTCGATTAAGCTGGTCTGTACTGATAAAACGCCTGCTAATCCACATCTCAAGATTGGACAACCAAAGCAGATGCCAAACATCAGGTCAACAAGACAACAATATATATTAAAACATTCACACCATCCCATCCTTATAAGACAACAATTCTGCAGATTAGATATATGCAACTTCACTAGAAATTGCATATATAACTCTAACCGTGGACTTATCTGTAATTCAGTATACCACATATTGAGATCATAGGCTAGTGAAATCCCAATCAAAATGAACAATGTGGTCAAAGCCTCGCAGTTTTGCAATAGGATACTCTCATCTATACAATAAGTATGATCTGCAAAATCTACCATCCGTATGAGCAGTACCAGCAATTACGCCAACGAAATTGCAGCATAATAATAACATCACAAAAAAGGAACACATTAGACGTCAAAATCGATGCACGGGTGGCGATTCTCCAACCAACACACAACAACAGAGCAAAGCGCGCGTCACGCGAGATTGGCCCGTACCTTGAGGCTCTCGACGACGCCGGGCACGACCTCGTGCTCGAGCCCCGAGTACTCCCCCTCGGTGTTCTCCCTGATGACGACGATGTCGACGTCCTGGTGCCTGGTGGGGAGGCCGGGGAAGTTGGAGCAGTTGACGAGCGAGGCGTAGAGGTCGAGCTCCTTGCGGAGCTGCATGTTGAGGGAGGAGACCCCGCCGCCGACGGGGGTGGCGAGGCCGCCCTTGAGGCACACCTTGTTGCGGCGGATGGACTCGATGACGGCGGGCGGCACGGTGGGCATGTCGCCGCGGACCTCGTAGGTCTCGAAGTAGACCGGCGCGTGCATCACCTCCATCACCTGCTGCACGGCCCCCGTCACGAGCGGCCCGATCCCGTCCCCCGGGATCAGCGTCACGGCGCGCGGGTTCCCGTCCCCTGGCCTGGGCATGTAGGTCACCGTGCGGCGCGCGCCGGCGCCGCCATGGTGCGCCGGGGCGGGGGCCGGGGAGGAGAGGATGCGGCGGAGGAGGGGGGCGGATCGCCGCGCCATGGGTGGGAGGAGGAGGAGGCGAATTGCGATCGGGAAGGCGGAGGCGAGGCGAGGCGGCCGGGAAGAGAGGAGGAAGGAGACCGGGAGACTTGGAGAGGGGAAGAGGAGAGAGGAGGAGAAAGGGAAGGCGGAGATGTGTACTCGAGTTGTTTTTTGCGGTCTAATCCCTTGGAGATTTTTGTATTTGGAGAATTGCATTTCGAAGTTAGACTTCTTTCACAAGAATAATGACGAGGAGTCCCTGCCAAATGGGCCCATCAAAAGGCCAATCTATATTTATATATCCCGTAATAATTTAATCGGCAAAAAACACATAAATGCGTATCAACTTGCAGAACATAAGTTGAGCAATGGAAGAGATGAGAGGTAAACTATTGCTTGCGTGCTTGCTGGAATATTATTTTTTTGGTTCAGCGAATGTATCGATCAATTGCCACTCAATCCATCCAATATTCCAGTAAACTAACCTAACGCCTATCATCAACTATCAGTTGGAGACTGAGGTCTGAAGGTAGCAAATTTGGGCTTTTGTTAGATAATAATAGCAGAGAGAACAAGTAGAATATGGAACGAATTTGATTCGCTGAATGCCACAAAAGATAATACAGGAGTGTAGTATACTTCAGCCATTAAGATGGCAGTTTCAAAAACGATAACGTGTGCGCCTCGTCTTTTTAGATTTACACAAATGTTTCCACAATTTCTTTCTTGGTGTCTACCATCGAATCTGTTTACAACGAGGAGCGAGAACAGGATTGTCAGCCCTGAAAGCAGCTTCTTCGGCTCGAGATTATACTCAAGGCTCATAGCTCCCAACTTTTCTTATAACCAATGCACACTAGCAAAGAAGGTGAGAAGTGGTCAGCGTGCAGTGATAGACTGATAGCTAGCTTTAAAACATTGAAGAATTGAACTGTACTACTACTAGTACTAGTAACGATTCACGAACACCTTTGGTAATGTTGGCAGCACAATGGAACCTTACAAATTACCATTTCATACATAATACAAAGTAACTTGCTCACAATGAGAATTCCTAAAGAGATATATACAGCCTACGCAGGGATAGAGCTTCTACTAGGCTAGCAAGATCCGTATGCTCTCACCCGACCCCCACCCCAATGTTTGAAGATTTTTATGATTAGTACTTCATATATAGTACATAATTGGGTGCATTCTCTTGTTAATTCCTCCATCTACTTAATTGATTTTATTATTTTTAGAGATATTTAATTGTGAAACAAGTCGCTGCGATTAGAGTGTAGAAATCAAGAATATATAATGAAGAAACATAAGTATGCGGTAATGTTGTAATTTAGTATAGATGCTTTTGTTTTAGAGCTGCTGTACTCATGTATTGCTTAGTCATGTGTTTTGTATAACTCCAATGTCTATAAATTCCAAAGAACCGCAATCTTATTTTGGCCCCTCTTGAGATTTATTAGTTCAAGCTCCACTATTGTGTGTATTGCTTAACAGCAAAAATAATTATCAGCAAAGACAATGCCCTTATAATGCATTTTAAACAATCGCATGCATACAGATAGTACAACAAAGATGGGAGTTTATCAAATGGCTGATTCTATCAAATAATTACACTTACAGTCAAGGAATAATCACTATAATAAGGAAATAGTGCAACAAAATGAGCAGCCAAAATAGTTTGGCAATTTGGAATGAACAAACAGAACCTTATTGCCTTAATCTTATCAGAGTAAGTAACAGGGTAAGTCAGCAAGCATATACCTTGTTGTTGCTGAGAACAAATCACTGTCCTTATTTCAATCCAGCAACCTTTTTCCTGAGCAATGTATTCTGTTTTTCCTACAAAACAATATCAGAATACAGATCAGAAATACCACATCAAAGAATAGGCTAGTTGTTACTAACAGTAGCATATCTAAATGCAATCCTTGCAAAATTTGTGGCCAGGCATGACTGGATGAAGTAGTAGTAATAATAATAAGACAACAATAACATGATATAGACCCTGTTAAATTTGAGTTGTATTATAATGTAGTTCAATCACATGCCTATGCAAGATGAAACCATATATATGTGCAGAACCTTAAATTCTGCGCACAGCCAATCTGGATTTATCATTCAAGTATTCAATACAACACTTTGTACTGTTTCTAAAGCCCTTTTCAAACTAAAAAAACATGGATAATAATTATGTATAGTCCAAAGGCCCCAAACAAGTTGCATGCTCGTGACCATATTCATTTACCAAGATCAGCAGCATTCCAGGGCTTAAATCGTGATTTTGTGGCTTCTGAGCAACCACCAAAAAGGGCATAACTGCTATAACTGATTCTTGGAAGCATATTTTTCAATTCTATTTTTAGCTTTTTATATATCATAATTTATTAATAATTTAATATGAGTCTTATATTGCTCAAAGTTTATTACGAAGTACATAAAACACCTTTTTTACACATAAAGCATGTCAAAAGAAAAGAACAACGGGTCTTAAACTCTTAACTGACAGTTTAGTATCAATTCACGTGAAATTAAGGGTATTCGAGCTACAGGATTTCTCAAACAGAAGAAAATTATCCATGAGAAATACAGTATCAGATAGAGGTGCTATAGCTATAGCACTCACCTGTACTGCTAATTGCAATTTTAGTTGCCTTTGCAGCTTTTCACAAGATAGATAGCAGTCACCGTCTAAGAAATGTGTCATGGTACTATGGCGGACTATCTAGAAGACTAGAACACAGCAGCACTCAATCTCACTTAGACCTAACTTGTTCAGCCAGACTCAACCAAAGCAGACTGCCTCCTGGCAATCAGAACTGACTCATGATATGGATGAATTACCTCTTTAACTATTAGTCTATCAACAAGCAAGTAAAAAAAACAGCACTAGTTAAATTAGAAATCACAAATTTCAGATTTATACATGGTTTTGGCAGAGCTGTCAAGGCATAGTTTCATTCACACTAGGACCAAAGTAGAGCGTGGATTATACATGTGGTTACTCAAAACTCAAACTATGCAATTTCTTCCATCTCGCATATCACCACAGTAATCCAGCGAAAGAGCTCACCACCTTATTTTGGCTTATGACAACTCAAATAGCCACACTTGTAGTCAAAACAAAATAATACAACACATTGCTACACCAGAAATAGGTGTTCTAAAAAGATGTTTGGTGAATGCCTTATTAACTATTTAGACCTCCCATAGCCACTTGGATCCTGCAGACCTGCATGGCTGGATTCACGCCCTGCTCCAACTCTTCATATACCACTTTATCTCAGCCTCAGGAGATCCCAGACTCCCAGTTACCCAGCATATCCTAGCTAAATCTTATTTTGAAAATTTCCTTGAAGTGGGCGATGCCACATAGCAGATTAAGAAATTAAAGAAGGGTAATACAATCTGCTTCCTTAAGCAAACACGGATATTCAAAAAGAAAATTGGTTTCAGGAGGCAATGTTATTGCGTTAAGCAGAACATGAATTCTTTGGAAACTGATTTAGCCTTTCTATCTAGAAAATATTTCATACCCCCTCTGTCCATGATGGCAGATTCATCCAAATTGTTCGATCGTTTCTTCTATTCTGATGTGAATAAATCTTGCCTAATTCACATAACAGAAATATTGTTTCAAGTTAGCCTAACAATTGACACAGGATCAATCAATTTGTCCATAGAGACAACAATATACTCCAAAAGGCAAAATTCTGACAACACAAAACTCAGGATCCAACAATCACCTGATCGAGCACGCGTTCGTTGGTCCGCTCAACCTGCCGAGCAAGCCCCTCCAGCTTCCTTAGCATCCCACTGTACATCTCCTCCATTTCGGAGGTCAGCGCAGAGGCCGAGGTCACCATTGCCCCTACCCTCTCCAGCCCGAACCCTTCTACCATCCCATCAAGCGCCTTCTGCTCACCAATGCTGTAACCCTGCTTTACAGGCTGCTCCGGCAGCGACGGCAACGGCGACTCCGGCGCGAAGGCGTGGTACTGCTCCCTGAATCCGGGCCCAGCGTTGACGACGCTGAGGGAGGCCGGCACAAGGCGGGAGTCAACGAGGAGGAACGCACGGTAGTCGAACGAGTGAACGGAGAGGCCAGCGGCGGAGGAGGATGGTGCCACGAGGAGGAAGACGAGCGGGTGGGCGAGCACCAGGGTCTTCGAGAGGGAGCGCGCGAGGGCGGCCTCGCGCATGGAGGGGCGCAGCGGCGAGCGGCGGCGGGAGGAGGAGAAGAAGCCGATGGCGGCGGAGGGGTCGGGGGAGTAGGACGACCTGGTGAAGCGGCCGAGCGGATCGGCGAGGGAGGAAGGCTGCGCGACCGAGGCGTGCCCCACGACGGAGATGGAGAGGGAGGGGCCCGAGGAGGCGCGGGCCTGGTCGTCGTCGTCGTCGTCGTAGAAGGACGGGGGAGCCGCGGCTGCGCGGCTAGCCACGCCGAAGAGGAGCCCGTCGGAGTCGCCGTCGGCCGAGCCGCAGCAGGCGAGCAGCGCCGCGAGGGCGGCGCCGGAGACGGAGAGCTTCGCGGCGGCGGCGGGGGCCATCGCCGTGAGATGGGATTTTCTGGGGGAAGCTTTCTGTTCCGGAGTTCGGCGAGGCTTTTCCGAGACGTGACGGGCGAGACGAAGGTACAGCGCCTTCCAGACTTCCACGGATGAGTGATGGCACACGTGGGCTACTAGGCTGGGCCGTATTGAATTCTTTGTTTTTCATTTGGATTACGTCTATTTTACCTCCCTCAACTCTTGCTCTTGATTGAATCGCCTCCCTCAACCGCAATACCATATATAACCGCCAAATTGAGCCCCTCGGCGGTTTAGCTGGTGCTTTGGTCATATGTGGCATCCACGTGGCATGTTGACTACGGGCCAACGTTATAGAGCACGTTGTTGCCTGCCAGAGTAGCTTATCCCGCGGTGGTGGTGAGCGAGTGAAAGGGGAAGATGACGTGAGGCTATGGTTGTGGCTCGGAGCGGATTAGGGGAAAGCGGACGCTGCATGAGGGACGGACACACCTATAGTGGAGGTGTGTCACTCCCGTGATCGGTTGATTGTGCCACCAGAACCATCGTTTAATCCTCATGCCTCCTCCTCCGCCGTCGACGCCTACATCATCCTCTTGCCGTTGCCATTAGGAAAAAGGGAGATAATTAGGGATAGGGAAAAGAAGAGGATGTGTTAATGATATGTGGGGTCCATCGTTTTTTTATTACTCCCTCCGTTTCAGGTTAATGGTCAAAGTGGAAATGACTTGTAAATGAGAATGAGTGGCTTTATGAACCTCTTTGTAAGCACTTTTGGTAGTGCAACCTCCGGATGGAGTATGCTTCCAGCAAAGTTTGTCTGGGTCTTCATTTGGAACAAGCTGAACATTCTGAATGGCTTGGATTGCTTCTTGGTCAAAAATTTGTTGCAGCTTTTGTGTCCCATTTTTTGTTCTCATCCCATAATTCTGCAACCTTAGAGGGCAAGTGCATATTAATAGCCCGAGAGTTTAAATGATTATCAATGTTTTCCCAGATTGAACATCAAGGTTGATTCCAGATGAATACCTGACCTTGAGAGAGTTGCCAAATAGTTGAAGAATTTAGAAATTTTCTAACTTTAAGGATAGAGGACCAGAAGGCAGATTTGGAAATGTTTTCATTAGCTTTCCAGAAAGAGGTATTATTCAAATATTTTGCTTTGATAATAGTAGAAACTAGATCATTGGGATTACTAACAATTCTCCAAGTTGATTGAATAAGAAGACTTCGATTAACATTGAGCAAATCTCGTATACCTAGTCCTCCTTGGTCTGTAGGTTTGCATATACCCTCCCACGATCGCCAACAAACTCATTTTTTACTGTCCTCAGTTTGAACTCCTGTCCACTAAAATTTCCTGATAATAGTTGTTAGTTTATTAAGCAAGCATTTAGAATTAGAATAGTGGACATATATAATAAACATGGATGGAAGCAAAAGTGGACTTAATAAGAGAGTGCATGAGAAAGTTTGTTTGCTTTGATCATTGTCAACTTTGCTCTAAATTTATTAGGGGGGTGTTTAGATATATGGGGGTAAAGTTTTAGCGTGTCACGTTGGATATACGGACACACATTTAAAGTATTAAACGCAGACTAATAACAAAACAAATTACAGATTCGTAGTACTAGAATATATCATATCTCTCCAAAATAACTTATATTATGGGACGAAGGGAATAGTAAATATAAGCACCAGCATGGCCATGTTAAATATAAGATTTAAATTCGGATGAGCTAATTCCACCACAGAAAACTTTACTAGTCGAGCTACGCTCACTTCAATTTGCCTCTAGTTTTATTCTTGGTTTTTTTTATCAAAAAGAGAAAAAAAAGTTATTATTGTTGGTATTTTAATTGTTGTCTTCTGCGGTGTGAGAAACTAAATGGGCCATAGAAACCGAAATATGGGCCAATACATGTCAAGCCCATTTCTCATGGGCCGCCACAACCATCATCTCACTCCCTCTCTCGATTCTCCGTTGCCACACGCTCGCAAGCAGAGGCGGCCGGCGACGGCGCGATGCCGCCGAGACGAGGGTCGCAGGCGGCAAGAACAACCGGCTGGCGGCGGGAGCCGGGCGGGCGATGCGAGCAACCGGTGCGGCGGCGGTCCAACGGCCGGGGAGGGAGTGGAAGTTTGGAACCACTCGAGGTAAACCTTCCGAATCGGTAGAAACCCCCCAACTCTGAATTTGCTAGGCTTTTATTCTGGGGCTGTTCACTTTGATGCCAAAAAAAAATCTTACCAAATTTTGGCATTACCAAAATTTTAGGGCCTGTTCACTTTGTTGCCATTTTCAACCTTACTAAATTTTGGTAAAGTTGTCAAAAAAAAAGTAGCTACATTTAGTTTGCTGCCAAATTTTGGAAACTATATAAGAAATCCTGCTAAAATTTTGTTGCCAAAATTTTGGTAACTATGCCAAAATTTTGGTAGAATTTCTTATATAGTTACCAAATTTTGGCAGCAAACTAAATATAGCCATATTTTTAGCGACTTTATTAAAATTTAGTAAGCTTGAAAATGGCATTAAAGTAAACATGCTCTTTATCTTTCCTGTGAATAATCGTATATAATCTTAGGAACCGAATAAGCCCAACCAATATAATCGATATAAAAACCATCATGAACTGAGGACATAAATCTCGCACCCCCAATAAAAAAGCTATCGATCAACAGATCAACTGATACAACATTTCAGCCATCTGATAACCTGAGCTAACTAGGCTATACAGTATTCTGAATTTCTGACACAATTCTTGCGTTAAAACGGATAAAGTGGCCTAACAAAGTAACAATGTACCAAAACAACTCATTTAAAAGTTCCGACATTGGAGAAAATCCACGAAGGCGCCATCCATGTTTTCATCTGCATCACAGAAGCCTGAAACTCTATCCCTGTTCTATTAGAAAATCATGCTGATGAATACAATACTAGTAATAGGTGAAATGAAAAAGATTGAAATACCCAAAATCAGTGCCCTCACATGTCAGAATGCAAAGTTGATTTTTTTACACTGGAAGCATGTCTTCCCATTCTAATTGTCGTATCTGATACAAACAACAAGGAATTTCAACATTGAATACGAAAAACGTTTAAGAAATAAAACAAGACAGACATGATCGAATCTCAGTGTGGAACCATTTGGCACTCGAACATGTTCAGTCTATCTGCATTGTTGCTTGAAGTGATAAGTCAAATCTCAGGATAGAACCATTTCGCACTCGAACATGTTCAGTTTATCTATATCGTTGCTAGTGAGTAGAAGCGAATGAATTGAACCTCCGAATGAACCGTTTTGCACTTGAACAGTTTCTGTATTGTTTTGTTTTTTGACCGATTTATCTGATACTACAGAAACAAAACTTGGCTCATCGTCCATCCAATATTTATAAAACTACTGTACATTTGGCAACCCAATACCCAAGATTTAAAACTATTGTACATTAGGCCACAGCCATAAATAGTGCTACCCAATACCCAAGATTTAAAACTATTGTACATTAGGCCACAGCCATAAATAGTTCAGGAAACAAATCTTGGTTCATCTAAATTTGTATGATAAATCTTAAGAGTAAATCTTGGTTCATCTAAAATTATATGAGAAAACTTAAGAGTGCAAATGTTGTTGGTTAGACACTCCCCCTTCAGGTTCTCTCATTTGCATGTTGAATCTGATGTACTCATTTTCTCTCTTTTGCTTGTTGATTCTGATGTACTCTCTCTTTTGCTTGTTGATTCTGATATATTCCACCAAGTGTTCGGTTTGGGCCCAGGAGAAATTATTCCTATCTGCAGCTGCAAATTTTCCATTCAATGTGACCATAGCTGGCTGGTTGCAGCAGATTGGGCACCAACTTTATAACTGCCAATAACAAACAATATAGCTTGACAAACAAATAATAACACATCCTGTATGTGAAAATTTCAATCTTGGACCAAAATATATGTTGTACTACAAATAATAAACATTAAACAGGTCTGATAAATCAGAGAGAAAGCTTTGTCCATCTAAAATTAAATGGAACTAATGTACATTGGACCACAGCCATAAATAGTTAAGGAAACAAATCTTGGTTCATCTAAAATTATATGGAAACAGCATTGTCCGATTGAGATGATGTTTGCACTCTTCTTCTAACATGGCACCGGCTGCAAGGTTCCAGAACAGTCAAATTAACTGTAGATGGAACTTTATCCTCAATGTATGTTCTGATAGCCGCGAGCCCCCTTGGAGCTTCCGTGAGAACACCATCTATCATGGGAAAACACCGCCTATACTTATCTTGATCACACCTAGGACCATAAATGGTATCCAATGTAAGACACTCAAGTGACACCGCATTATTGAGGATATAACATGTTAGTTCCACCAAGCTCTTCGCAGAGCTGAAACCAGTGATCTTCACACTCTTGAGGTGGCCATGGTGGTGTTCAGGTATGTGTCTCAGTTGTGAATCCGTGAAAATCGATTCATTCACCATACGTAGAGTCACCTGACCATGAAAAGGATGATATGCTTGAATTAGACCCAGAGTGATAAAAAAAGCTTTGGAGGATGAAATGAATGAATGAACAACACTAGTGCCTTACATTTAATATCAAAGTCTCCAAGGAAGGAGATGCATTGATAAAAGAAACCAGAGAGAAATAGTCATATGGCCGGGAAATGGTCGATCCTGTTATCATACGAATGGTCAGGTGCTTAAGGTAGATGAATTTGGTAGGTAGCATTGGTGCATCAACCACCTGCACAACAAATATGGCATGTATCAGATTTATTATACACCAGGTATTATTAATGTAATCCGTATATAACATTCCCTAATGTAATCCATATATATGGTTATACTAATGTAATCTGTATATATCGCTGTACTAAAGTAATCCGTATATATTGCTATACTACAACACCTCATCTTTTAGAGAATATATACCTCATTCACTGATTCAATGACAAGAGTTTCAAGATTTGGCATAATGGATGGCAGATTGGCACGAGCATCATGGATTGCACATCCCATGTCTAGTTTCTTCATTTGCAGCGTTTCCACAACTGAGAAGTTAACCCTGAATCCTCTATGGAAAAAACTAGAGAGATTTGGAGCTTTGCTCTCTATCACTTTCAAGCTTGAGCATTCAAAAACACTAAGTCTGCTGGGCTGCTGTAGGGCGAAAGGTATCTTCAGGCAAGTTATCTTCGTGCATTGAGTGAGCTCTAAATGCTCCAAAGCAAGAGAGTTGGAAAGAAGGCACTCTAACTCAGCCCATGTAGCTCACTAACCACAGAGACAGACTTGTTAGGCTTCTCAAGGGGGCAAGTTCAGGTGTGGGATGGAGGGCACAAAATCGAAGTTTAATGTACCGAAGTGAGTCTCGAACCCCATCAGACAAAAGTGAGCATGGGAAGTTGTATTGTTTGTTTGTGTCAAACAAAAAAAGGGTGAGTTCTTCGATCCCTGGTTTAAGAGCAATCTGAAGCCAACTGTCAAGATAACTAGTGCCATCGAACCCACACATGCCACTGTAGTCAAGCTTGAACGTTTTCAAGCTAATGCCTGAGTGGTTCCTGAGAATGCACCCAATTTTTCCGTGGAAATTCTCGCCAAACGCATTTCTCTTCAAGCCAATCGTGTCTTTATTAAAGATAAGATTGGGATGACACCTCCAAGAACGTAGAAAAGCACGAGATACGCAAGCAGCACGAGCAGCTTCACGCATTGACATAAAGGAATGTATACGAGACAATATGTCCTGCATTACACAAACATCAGATAAAAGATCAACATTGATATTGCAAATCCATATGATTACTTCAATTGGAGAAAGAAAAAACAGAAGAATCACACAGAGTAATGTTCTGCCCCAGGTAGCTCTCCACATGAATGCACAGGGTGAATTGCATTACATAGGTTAGATAGTGCAGAGGAACATAACCGTGCTAGGGAAACTCAGTACTGCATAGAGAGGTTTTCCTAACAGTGTTATTTTAGTGGTTTTCTAAATGAAAAAAGAGACAGTTGCTAACAGCTAGCACCAATTAACAACTACATGATATATTTTTACTTGCATTAGTAGTTGACCATAATGTTTCCTTGTTATTGCAAGTAGCACCCAATTATTGTAAGTTATCAACATGGTACTAAAGCATCCCACTTATGCATCAAATTCTGGAGAGATGTTAGCAACCTTTGCAGAGAGAACAGTCACTAATAGTACTAATAATGTAGGACTGTGATCAAATCGCAGCACTAAAATAATCTTTGCTGTTTATAAATGATGCTCCCTCCATTTAGTTTCAAATTGTACAAACCAATGCCATATAAAACAAATGGAGGGAGTAATATACAGCCAGCCTATGGGTGAGACGTGGTGATATTATGCTTGCAATCTAAGCCTGCATCATCAGAATTCAATGCCTCGTACCTCAGGAAGATATGGGATTGAATTTCTCATCATTTTGCCAGCTTGAGAATGACCATCGCCATCATGTTCACACGGTGATATCTTTCTTTTACCCGTTGAGGCAATAAACCCAGCTGCTGCGACACGAAAGGGATTGTTATGGTAGCAGAGACATGAATCGAAGAAAAGCAAGAAAAAGGCACTTCAATCCCCTGAGATCTCACAAAAAAAGGAGCTCAAACGAAGAATGTGGAAAGGCAATAATCTGAGCTGTTCACCAAAGTGAAAAATTTGAAGCCAAACAAATGAAAAATGGGTATCCGGCTCACATCAAACCAGATGAGCCAGTTATTAGTTAGGCAATAAAAAGAGCAGCTTTTTATGAGCTGACAATGACAAACACATCTACCGAGCCAAACGTGACAGAAAAAAAGATGGGCGAAAGAGTTGTTCCTGTTCAGAGAGGAAGGAAGCTTACAGCGGGCTCGGATTTGCGGCCGGCGATGCCGCCGCCGCCGCCGGCCGCGCCGCTGGGACATGAGCCGGTTCGGCGCCAACATCCCCAAAGACGAGCTCACGAAGATACCCCCTTCCTCCCTCGGATCTGACCGAGAAATCACTTCCGTTTCCCCCTCCTTCAGATCTCTCCTCTTCTCCTCTCCTGCCAATTTGCGGTTCGGTTTTGAACTCAAATTCGCACCGGCGACGGCGACGGCGACGGCGCCGGCGAACGGCGGGCGGAGCTATCTACTCGCCTACAGAACGACAAAAGTAACCAAACCCTATTCAGTGTGGGGACTGGGGAGTGGTTTGATCTTCTTTTTTTTTTTTTTTTGGCTTTTGGAGATGATCTCTTGCTCCGGTCTTATTGGATTGCGGAATAAGTCTATTCTGACTCCCTCTTGGGCTTGTTGAATCGCATCCCCAACTGTAAAACCAACCAGGTATAACGTCTCCCCCAACTTTAAAAAGGAATAAGTCAACTTTGGATCCCTCTATTTTGTCGCCCAGTCCGATTTTCATCCCTTGACCGCAAAACGGGTACAACCCGTCCCCCAACTTACAAAAACCGGACAAACGAGATCCCTCGGCGGTTTTGGCTGACGTGGCGCCTACGTGGCTTGTTTGACTAGGTCTCCGTCCCACGTGGCATTGACGTGGCGCTTACGTGGCAATTATATCTAGAAATAATAAAAAGCGTGGCCCCACATGTCAGCTGCACACAAAAAATATTTTTAAAATGGTGGGACCCACGTGGGCCCCACGTGTCAGCCTCACTCCTCTCTTCTTCCCACTCCCCCCTCTCTCTCTCCTTCCTGGGCAGCGGACGGCGCGGTAGGCAGCGGAGCAGGCGAGCTCCGGCGGCGGCAGCGGGCATGGTCGGCGCCGCCCTCCGACCGGAGCGCCGCGGACAGCGCGGCGTAGGCGGCGGGTGACCGGAGAAGCGCGCGCCGGGCAGTCTGAGTCGGCGAGCACAGCGACATCGGGCGGCGGAATCCCGGGGTGCTTCCCGCTGCCGTCGCAACGAGGGCAACGGGGGTCCGCCTCGGCGATGAGCACGTAGGTGAGGCAGGACGGGTAGGCGGCCGCACGCATGGACGGGCTCGCGGGCGTCGCCGCGCCCCCCGCCGGCGGCGAGCGGTGGCACTTGCCGATGGAGGAGGACGAGGAGGTGGACGCCGACGATGACGACGACGTGGCCGGGGAGGCACACGCGGCGGCGGCCGACCTCCCGGCCGTGGCGCGCTCGAGCGCGGAGCGGACCATTCCTAGCGTGCAGACCGCGGCCAATGTAGACGCGGCCGCGGCGGTGTAGGACGGCGGCGGAGGCAGGTTGAGGTCTTGGTGGCCGACATGGACGCCCTGGAGCCGAGGAGTCAGAAACGTCTTCCCTGACTGCAAGAAGAAGAACAAAAAAAATCAGTAAACTCCATTTCTTCAAGATTAACCCAAGAACAGGGCAAGATCAGAGCCTTCTGAAACTAAATTCAGATGGAACAAGTTTTTTTATGTTCTTCATATGAAGAACAGAGTGCTTAATCTCCTAATATTCGGAAGAAATACAGCATGCAACACATGAACCGATCTCTGATAGTTGCAAACATTGCAAAATTGTTTCCGATCAAAGCAAAAAACAAATAACCGAACGAATGGAACAGTTCATCTCAAAATTCGTCGACACAAATAGAGGCGCAGAAACATAAACCGAAACTCTGAGGAGCGGTGGGGAAGGAGCGGTGGGCGCGGGCGAAGAAGGCCGGGGTCACCGACGAGGTGGTGGAGGAGGTGTGGGGGCAGAGGGCGAGGGGCCAGGAGCTCGCCGGCGCCCCTTGCCGCCACAGGAATATGGAGGATGCCGCCGCCCCCGTCCCTGGTATTCTCCGCCGGCGCCCCCAACTCGCCGCCGGGGCAGCCTCGTCCTCGAACTCGTCGGCGGCGTCCGCATCTGCGCCTACCCCGTCCTGGTGGGAGACGATGAGGTCCCACATCCTCGCGCTCTCCAACATCCTCCCGCCGCCGGCCAATTCCGACGTCGCGGCGCTCGCCGACTCCGACCGCCCAGCGCGCGCGCTTCTCCGTCACCCGCCGCCTACGCCGCGCTGTTCGAGGCGCTCCGGTCGGGGGGCGGCGCCGACCATGCCCGCCGCCGCCGCCGGAGCTTGCCTACTCCGCCGCCTACCCACGCCGTCCACTACCCAGATAGGAGAGAGAGAAGGGAAAAGGAAGAAGAGAGAGAAGGGAGAGGGAAGAAGAGAGGAGCGAGGCTGATTATGTGGGGCCCACGTGGGCCCCACATTTTTAAAATTATTTTTTGTGTGCAGCTGACATGTGGGGCCACGCTTTTTATTATTTTTCCGAGATATAATTGCCACGTAAGCGCCACGTCAATGCTACATGGGACGGAGACCTAGTTAAACAAGCCATGTAAGCGCCACGTCAGCCAAAACCGCCTTCAGAACCGCCGAGGGACCTTGTTTGCCCGGTTTTCGTAAGTTGGGGGACGGGTTGTACCCGGTTTTGTGGTCAAGGGATGAAAATCGGACTGGGCGACAAATAGAGGGACACAAAGTGAACTTATTCCCTTTAAAAATCGGTGCAAATTGATTCATTTGTGGGCCTGCCACTAGGGAGGGTACTGGTTAGCCTATATTTATACCCAAATTTACCCATCCTCACTACAATGCGTGCCCCTGAGCGTGCACCCGGCTCATGTTGTCTGTCGTCCGTCCACGAGGTGTGCCCCTAGAGGGAGGCGCGACCCCCACGAGGGGAACACGCGCCCTTGACCCCTCAACTCCGCTTTTCTGGAGCCACTCCTTCGAGGCTATGCGTTGGGGGCTTGGGGTGCTCATGGACACTTATTCTATATCTGCGATTTCCCCTTCTACCCTTGGCCTCGTCGCTGGGAGGAGGTGGACAGTGGTGGGAAGGAACCAGAAGCGGCGAGGAGGTGGAGACGCAGTCGACGGCCCTGGCGAGGACAGATTTGCGACGACGACGGCCTGGGGACGACGCAACCGACTAGATCTGGACTCCTGACACACCGCTCGTCGTCGGCCACCGCACCCCACACGCCACTCTCCGTCAGCAGTGACAGGAGAGAGAGGCGGCGACAACAGGTGGCGGCGAAAGAGAGGTGACGGGAGAGAGAGAGAGGATGTGAGAGAGTGGATTTGGCTGCCGGCGAGGTGGACGGCAACCGGCGACGAGAGAGAGTAGGAGAAACGGCGACGGCCGCCGAGATAGAGAGGGAGACAGCAGTGACGGGTGAGAGAGGGAGAGAGAGATGCGAGCGATATAGGCAGGAGAGAGCGGGAGGCGGCGGCGCATCTGGGCGAGGAGGGAGAGGAGAAGCGGCGAGGGGATAAAGGGGAAGAAAAACCGCGAAAAGAAAAGACAGAAAAAGAGAAGAGATGGGAAGAAGCTAGTGGGTGCTCGGTGGGCTAGGGGTAGGGAAGGAAATCCATATATGTGGCTATGGGTTGAGACACCCTGTTGTGGGTTGGAGTACCTTCATTGGTTGCTTGAGATTTTGAAGAGCCCAGCTGTGACCTACGAGTATCCCCCATTGGGAGATGGGTGCCCTATGAACTTATGAAGTGGCTTTGGTTAGTGAGGGCACCCATAGAGTGACTTTGGTTACAGATGTCCTATGTGGGTATTGCAGAAGCTAACAGCCGACAAAATGAGTGAGATAAAAGAAGAAAAGGAATTGCCTGGGCAGAAGCCTTCTTCAGCTCGGGGCACCTACGCCATGATATTTCCGTACCTTCGCAGTTCATCCTTGCCATAGAACAACAGCGTCGTCGATCTCATGCCATTGCCCCTGTGCTTCACGGATGCCAAGCAAAAAGAAGCCAGCAACAACAAAGTCTATTGTCTATTTAGGCCTCCTTTAATTCAAAGAAAATTCATAGGAATTTTAGAGGATTTCATTCTTATACGATTTTTTTCATATATAGCCATTTGAATCAAAGAAATGAATTCTATGTAATCCTATAAAATTCCTATGAGATGCCTAATACCATGCACATGAGGTTTTATCTCATGGAAACTTGCCTCTGAGTCATCTCTCCTCTAATCCCTGCATCGGCGGCCCAATCAAATGGTCAATCCTGCGATTCAAATGGCCCGTAGCATGTTAAAGTCTATTGTCTATTTCACAATATAAATATTTCTTTCTTTTGTGATGATAAGATAGTATTTTCTTTTGAGGGATAAAGATAATCTATTGTTTTATAGTAAAAATGTTGAGGTATGACTTCTTTAAGTTTTCTTTTTATAAATAATAATAAATTACCCATGCAGATGCGCGAGCTTCTTTCCTAGTTATTATAAAGATTACTAGCCAGAATCACGCCCTACGCTGTGTGCATGGGTATGAATGTTTCAAGCTGTGTTATTAAGATCAAAACAACACAGGTGACTTCTTTTCCCAACTTTCTCAACTCAACTCAATCGTTTTCCACGTGCCCGCTTTTCAAACTACTAAACGGTATATTTTTTGTAAAAAAATTTCTATACGAAAGTTGATTTAAAAATCATATTGATCTATTTTTCAAAAAATAATAATAAATACTTAATTAATCACGTGCTAATGGACCACTCCGTTTTCCGTGGACAGGAGATTGGTTCCCAACACACCCAAACAAACACAGCCACAGTATCTACAGTTGTAACTTTTAAGAATTATATATAAACATTGTCTAAAAGAACTTTATGTCAGAAGCATACCCACATATGCATGTACACATTGTGACTATCACCAAGATTTAAATGTGAATACAATCTGTTTGCTCACATAATTGTTTGTACAATCATGTACACTTACAAAAAAGTAGCAATGACAGAGGACAATGGATCTTACATAATGTGGAGTATAGGTTAGAAAAAACAACAATCATTAGGTGATATGAGAATTGCAGCATTTTCTCATAGATACCTTCGTCATGAACTAATTGAATCTTTTCTCATCTATAGCACTGCAGCACAAAGAAAAATTTAGTGCTTTAGCTCAATAAAAACAACAGTACATCACTTACAACAGATTAGTAGACGATTGGTACCTCCTTTGCATAATGGCACAGAATTTTGAGGTATCCCCTACAGAATACAGGGCATCTTTGGATGTCATCCATATATTGCTACACAATGAGTATATAGTAGGTAGTACAAATACTCATATAAGAAACCGTGTTGAAATATCTCTGTAGCTTTGGAGAAGGGGCAAACATAACATTTCATGAATTAAAAAAAGTTATAAAATCATATTTTGAAGTCAGCTTATAATGAAAACTCTATAAGTATATTTGCAAAGAAAAAATTCAATTGGAAGGATGGGTTATTAGAAAATTCCAAAACAATGCAGCGCTGAAAAAAAATGAAAGTAGGAATAATGCTTGTCAAGAAAAAATTACACCCCAGTGTGCCCTATTGGAACATATGACATGTCTCATGTAAAATTGTTTGAAGTGCATGTCACTTCGTCACACACAAATAAATTGAAATAATACTTTATGATCAAAGCAGAAAAGAGAATAACACAGTACGTAAAGCTAGAGATACTAAGGGTTGGATTCTTTGGAATAGCACATATGTATTGTTAATCGGTATGGACTACACAGATCAACCGATAATGGAACTATGCAGGTTACAACTCAGAAGTACCTGTGGCTTTAATTCTCTCAGGCAACCATGGTTTCAGTGTCACTGAAACACCCTGCAAACAACGCTAACCTATGAAATCAATGTTCCATTAAATATTAAACAATAGTAGCAGATATAGAAATGACTCTAGCACAAGAAAAATGTTAGCTAATATACATAGGGCCTGCACTGATTTTAAAAATGTAGTAATTGCGGTCTAGTAAAGTTCACAAATACTGAAATCTTCAATCGAACCAAATAAATATTTGTTCGCTAGATGTACAACATAACCTGTGATTAATGCCTTGACTTATAGACCCAATATTGACCCAATGTATTGGTTACAATATGATTCGTAGAATAATGGAGCTTCCTCCAGATAGGAGGCTAAAAGACCCGCACCATGAAATCATATCATTACCTTAATATCGGCACAATTATCTGTCTATACTGAGCCCTAAAGACCCTGAGGTTTGTCTCATAGAAAATTAACTGCATGATCCAAATATAAGGGTAATATGCCAAGATTGTCAGGCTTACAGTGAATTTTCTGATGATGTATGCATCACAATAGCCAATATAAGTTTGTCGACAAAGAATACCATCAATGCAAATGCGTATGTTACCATTATGTGTACTGAATTAGCGCACGACGAATTAACAAATAAAATATGATTTGTTGGAGAAGGAAGGAAATTGAGGCAAAACCTTCCGATAGCATAAACATGATATGCTATCGTGGAACTAAACCTAAATTATCTGATAAGAAATATGAAGACCACATATATCATCAAAAGAAGACAATAAGAAAACATTCATACCTAAAAACAGAAGCATAGAAAGGTGGCAGCAAGAAAACTCATTGACATGCCCACAAAATATTATTACCAGTATTGTACAATGAAGGAATACTGACATTACTTCGCACTCATTAACATTTACAGGAAAAGGACAACTAAGCAAAGAACATCAAAACTTGAACTCTCCAACTAACTTTTTATATTTTGAAGTATATATCTTGGGAAAAAAATCACATCTGCCATGTAGTACTATATCATATACATTTATCTACAATCCCTGAATGAGCGTAATTGATAATAATAAAAAAAAGGTTTTTTTAAGTATATATTCTTGTAGACCAATTTGTTAAGATTCCAGAAACAATTGGCATATATATGTACCGATGTACATCAGGATTTCATTATGAAGGATCATGTACACATCTTTAACCTGTACATTTCTGGTAGTTGACATAGATGGTGCACTGTCATCTTCAATATTTTATCATTATTAGTGAAAAGTTTTTTACGCAGAGTTAGCTGGCATAAAAGTTATACGACATTATAATTAAAAAGTTGCAGGAACAAATGTATTTGAGAATAAACTTAGATTTGCCACTAAAAATTTTACCAAGCACATAGAAGGCTTTTGTTAAAGAGAGAAATTTTACTGGCGTCAGCCTAATCATTTCTTCTCCTTATCTCAGAAGCCCGCATAGGAGCCAATCAGCCGAAGAGAGCAAACTGAAAAGAAAGAAATTCAGCAGCATACCTGAACGACTATGGTGTTATGTGCGGTGACAACGGAGGAGCAGATTGCTCCCAGCGCGGCGCAGGCCTTGATGTGGGCTTGGATGCCGCCATCGCTGCCACCAGCATGAACAACACATGCGGCCATGGCATCTAGTGGGCCATCGTAGCAGGCTATTGGTGAGGGGCACAAATGCTGTTAGGAGAAGATGGTTGAGAATCCATAATAATATACATTTCAAATCCATTTTCTATAATAATATTTTCATAGTAAAATTTTGCTGCTCCTATATAAAGCTATTTTGATTTAGCACGACATTCATATAGTGTAAAAAAAACATATACAGATGACCAAGAAAATCTGTCAACTATTACAGTGCAAAAGATCTTAATCATATCATATAGGCAGCTGCAGTAATCCTCAAACTTTTGTAGACATAATAGCAATCAACAGAATGATGTCAGCAACCTGAAAACATATATTAAATTCCAATACAATATATACAGGACAGAAGGAGAGGATTTGATCTGTACCTGGACGGTGATGTTTAAACTTTAGTACTGAATAATCTAGCATTCTAGCCTGCACTCCCTTTTTTCTTTCCTTCCTACCAATCATGTGAAACTCATAATGAGCAGCAAGTCAAGAATAGAGATCAGGGGCTAGAACAGATATGTATATATGCATATAATAGGGATTTAAGTAGTAGTGTACCAAATTGTGTCTGCTGATGGCTTCAGCAGAGGAGTAGAACAACAAATATGGAATCAGCGCAAGCAAGCAGGCTGGATCGATCATATATATTGATTAAGAGGATTAGGCAAAGGGAGTGTAAAGTTGACCTGGGGAGGAGTAGAATGCGTGGTAGCAGATCGTCAGGTCGCCAGGTCGCAGAGGTGACGAACCAGTCCCGGCAACTCCCTACGGTGGCGAACTAATCCCAGTGAGATTCGGCGACACCCAAACTGTCAGGGGAAGGGAACGGAGACAGTGCCTGCGGCGAGAGGGCGCGGCCGGGGAATGAGATGGCGCTTCCGCCATCCCGCGGAGAGAGGGCGAGTGAAAGGAGACGGCGCCACCATCGTCTTGCAGCGAGAGGGCGAGGCGGCGGCACCAGCCATCAGGCGTGGGGGTGGGGCGCGAGGTTGGGGGCGGCTGGGCAGCGCTAGGGTTTTGTGGGGGAGGGTGAAAGCATGAGATCTAAGCCGTTCATTCCCAAATCACCGATCTGAGGGCAGTGAAACATCCGCCAGCTGAGCCACACGGATGGTCAGATCGAGCCTCACGGCGATCGTACGGTGAACACAAACTCAGACGTGGGCAATATTTTACGAAAGTAGGAGGGTTTTTCTGAAAAAATCGCATGACGTGGCGCAGTAAATTCCAAGCATTCCCACGGCGTTTAAGTAAATCAATATAAGTTAGATGACCTTGATTTTACAAAATCATAGCTTAACTAGAGAAACTACTTAGACTACTGGTATAAGGATAAAGACAAACTTCATCTACAGTTGGCGAAAATATATTTAGGCTGTGTTCGCATGGGGTGGATGGGAACTTATTCCCTCCGCACGGAAAACGGAGCGGTCCATTAGCGCGTTATTAATTAAGTATTGGCTATTTTTTTTTCAAAAATAGATTAATTTGATTTTTTTAAGCAACTTTTGTATAGAAACTTTTTGTAAAAAACACACTGTTTAGCTATTTGAAAAGCGCGCGCGGAAAACGAGGAAGATGGGTCGGGAAAAAGGAGTTGCAAACACAGCCTTAACTGTCATTTATCCTAGTGTCCTTAAAGTTATATGTTGTCATTGTCTTTCTTGATGAATCCGAAAATATAAGTTCGAAAACAAGCCGATTATTATACTGATTGAATTTCGCTAACATTACCACTACTAAAACTACAACGAAATATAATAACGAAGAGTAACCGAGCTGTATATCATGGTTCATTATTAGAGTGAGTAGTTTACACATTCCTCGCGAGTCCAAGTTCAGTTGCAACGTCAACTTCAGAGACACATCGCTCGGTTGAAAACTATCATTTCTTACTAGGACTCACATCAGCTAGCTACACGCTACTGGCCGCCCCTGATCTCAGAGCTAAAACCGGTGTGCGAGACCGAAGCGCTATCCGGGTGGGCGATAGCCTGCTGCATCCCGCGCCGGCGCCGGCGCCGTCGCCGTCAGCTTGGGTTCAATTCTGAACACATTTATTGCCGCTTTCTGCTTGACTTTTATGCTTTTGGCGACTTCGATTGGTGCAGAACTAAAGAAGAATCTGACTTGCATCGCAATATCGCATGGTATGGTAGTAGTACTTGTGATCTCTGGAAAAGAAAAGTAGAGGAGTTCCTTTTGCCAATGTCAAATAAGATATTATGCTAATATTAACCCCTTTATGGCTTTGCTTTACTTACCGGCAACCGACTGACTCTGTTTAGATCCAAACTTTTTCTTCAAATTTTTAATTTTTTCATCACATCAAAACTTTCCTACACACATAAACTTTTAACGTTTATGTCACATCGTTCCAATTTCAACCAAACTTCTAATTTTAGCGTGAAGTAAACACACACTACGTCCTGCTAGGCCTCACATCCTTGTCACCGTCTTTTCGTCCTGATTAGTTCCACGCATTTTGTGGAAAAAAACTGGTGGCACTATCGACTCAGATATCAGAATAATGTTCCTGAGAGGCTTCAACGACGTAGTATTAAAATCAGTGATAAGTTATATGATAAACTGATAATGCGATTAATTGCATGGACTGTGTAGCAAAATTAACGCAGCTTTTATAAGATCTGACAAATTAAAGGTTCTGAAGTATGCACATTTGTGAATTGCGATGCCCTGGATTCAGGAACCTCTCTGCAAATTGTTGGTGAAGCAGACAAATGAATTGGACGGGAAAGGGAACAGGTGAGAGGATGAAAATGAAAGAAAGAGAGATCAGAGAGAGAAGGAAAACCACGGGATTATTCTGATGGTATTTCACCCGGATAGAAAGAAGATATTCTCCTGGTAGTGGATTCGTGCCCCTCTTTTTTCAATCTGATGCGAGACAGAGTTCTTAGTTTGGCGAGCACGGTTGACAAAGTTATTCAGAAATTATAATATTCTGCTTGTGATTCGCCAACTGGGCATTCATCTATGCAGACATTGAACTGATAATCTATAGTATGCACAGAGATAACGTCAACATTACGAAACCCAAATGAGCATCTTTTCCATCCCAAGCTGCAAGTCTCCATCCGTTTCATATCATAAGTCGTTTTATTTCTTTAATTTTTTAAAAAAGTTTTATCAAATTTATAGAAAAAATAACAATATCTATAATACCAAAGTAGTTTGTTAACTATTATATTGAACATATTTTAATGATATATGTTTGTTTTGTGTTTAAAACGTTACTATATGTTTCTATAAATTTGATTAAACATAAAAACTATTTAACTAGAAAAAAATTAAAGCAACTTATGATATAAAATGGAGGGAGTAGATTAGCCATGAATCAAAGCAACTTAACGAGAGGCCATGCAACGTGAGCGCCACGTCAGTGAAGACCGAGTCAAATTAGCTATGTAGACGTCACATCAGCCAAAATCGCCGAGGGATCTCATCTGCACTAGTTTTGACAGGACCCATTGTATCTGGTTTTCCTGTTAACAAGTTAAGAGACCTTAGATGAACTTATTTCAAAGAAAAAAACGTAAAGCATCAAGACCTCCCTAGTATAGATGGCCATAAGGTCCAAGGCTCGACGGCACGGCCCACGTCACGGCATTTTGGCATGGCCCAAGCACGGCACGGCTCAACGAGGGTCGGGCCCGTGCCGACCCGCGATGGAAGACGAGGGAGAGAAAATAGACTTATTTTAAAAAGGCATGATGGGCCACCCGGGCCTTCGGACCGAGAATTTTTTTCGTTTTAAGATTTTTTTTTAATATTTACAGAAATAATCTATCGACCAAAAAAATTGCAGAAATAGCCCCTGCCGCCCAAATGGTGGGCGGCAAGCTGACGTGGCAGACGGTGGGTCGACCGCGCCGTCTGCCGCCGTCGGCCAAAATTGCGATTAGGCCCTTGCCGCCCATACAGAGGGCGGCAAGGGGCTAATTGCAATTTTGGCCGCCCATTCAGAGCTTGCCGCCGTACTTTTTCATCTGGGTCCCTTGCCGCCCCAATAGAGGGCGGCAAGGGACCCAGATGAAAAAAGTACGGCCAAAAGATTTTTCTATGTTATGTTAATAATAAATAAAGAAGTATTTATTGGTAAAACTTGTTAATATTGTTATAAAAATGTATTGAAGTTGGTTGTTGCGCAATTTCATATGTTAAGTGAGGTATTATTTTGTACCTTATTCGACGTATTAGTACTCGGATAATTTATATAGGCCTATCGCAGTCTAGGTCGTAGAAACATTATATGGACTTAAACAAGGAGAATTATGTAACATGAAGAAATAGTAGTACAATTTAAACATGATACAACTATTTGCATTGCGGTTACATAGATGATATTAGATTCGAACTAGGAGGGAGGTAGTGCAATAGTTGAACACAACGACGATGTAATAATGGGACAAGGAAGCATGACAGTAGAAATTTCAATATGCCAAGTTGTCCGATAATAGCTAACCCCTACGTGAGGATCCCTCTCCTCTCTCAAACCGCGCTTTAGTAACGCTGTATTGCTCTGGTAGTTCAAGCTGCACAACACGGCTAGGTGGAGTTAGAACCCTTCTGGTGTCTATCCATTCTCTGTATTGACATCTCCTTGGTGGTTCCTGGGAGGAAAGAATAGATGTAAAGCAAGCAAAGTTAGTAAATGTTGTGAGAAAATAAGGAATCATGTAATCAAAATATTCTTACCATGAAATCGTCGTCAAGAATATTTGGACAAACAAAGAACCTTCGACCCAATGTTGTAGGATTTATGGAACGAAGAACCTGACAACGATCACCACACCTGCATCTTGGACGGGCTTCCCATGGAGGGAGTGCCGTAGTTAGCACCCGCCAGTCGCTCTGTTGTTCACGACATTGTCGTTCATAAGCCGCTTTTCTCTGTAAGTATTGCTCAGTACTTTCGGATACGAAATACCAGCGACCTTCTTGTAAACAAGTGGTTAGGTCGAGAACGGGATTTTCTGTATCGACCCACTCGATGTATGCGCAAGCCGTAGTGCGGGTCTGCCGAATAGAGTAGTGTTACGAAGAATAAAGCGATTGCCCATACGGAATGAATAAGCATATGCAGATAATAAAATACCTCACGGTCATAGTTAGGGCACCTAAAAAAGCGCCTTCCTCGAATATCAGGATTCCTCGAAGCCATTAGTTGGCATCGATCACCGCATAGGCAGAGAGGACGCTGGCACCAAGGTGGTAGTAGGTATACACAAGGATCGCCACGCCAGTTTGGATCCTCAACACACCGGCGTCTAGCCATTGACGAAAGCCGGTCGGATTTGTAATGAAGCAAGTGGGGAAGAGAGTACTGAATGTGACTGAGTTCTGAAAGATTGTGAGGCCTCACTCGTTAAGGCGACTTATATAGGCGCAAAAAATCGAGTGATACCCCTGACATGTGAACATGGTGGGGTATGGTGGGTACGCTTGATTGGCACCGAAAGATACATGCATGATCGGCGCCGAAAGTTACATTGGTCGTATGCGCCAAATGGCGGGCAAATACTCGTATCACACGCGAATAAAGGAGGCTGCATCGGTGCAGCAGAAAGTAGTCGTGCATGCGCCGAAAGGTATCGTGCATGCGCCAAAAGGTATCGTGCACATATAACAACAACATAGTCATTACATAAGCATACAGTACTGGAAAGTGAAGCAAGTAAACAAAAAGAAGACTGCTCTACTGGCCCTGCCCCGCGCCGCGACCACGCTTGGTCCTCCGGGCCTGTGCTCGCACGTGGTCCTGGGAGTAGGTGAAACGATCCGGTGGCACAGCACGGGTAGCACGAGTGTCCCGCGGAGGAGTGGCCTGCGCCTGGTCCTGCGTCTGCACCGGCGGTGCGCCTCCCAGCTGTGAGGGGCCGATGACGTCCTCTGTCGAGCCTGAAGCGAAGTCGAAGTCAGTGATGTCAAAGAGCACGGTGGAAGACAGGAAGGGGTCCGACGAGGTCCCAGCATGGTCCAGTGGTGGACCCTGACTCGA